ACCTTGTTGACTTACTAGCATATGTCTATGTGAGTCATCCTTTCTCTAAGTTTTTTTTTTTTTTAAACTGCTATTCATCTCTGAATGCAGTGCTCTTCCATCTACTCTGTCCATTGATACTATTATTGTATATGCTCAAAAATTCAAACATTTACTATTCTAAAGGCTCCCTGTACTTTCTTTCTCCCCCAGGTGTCTATATGCAAGTGTAAGCGTCTTCTTCTTGTGTTTTCAAATAGCACCTTGTATGTCAGAACCCTTGTTTTGTAGGATCAATGGTAGAGAATCTGTAGGCCTTGCTCTTAACATATAATAGGGATTTGAAATATTTCGTAGAGTTAAAAAATCATTTTGCTTATTCATAGAGTTGATGAGTGGACTATTGGGTTTTAGTTTTCCTGTTTATTGATTTATGATGATTTATCATTTTGATGTCGTTTCTGCTAATGGGATATCTGTGATATCCTAAGAAGCTTTGATTACCAGTTTGAATTTGAATTTTTAGAGAAATATTAATGTTTACCGCCTATATCTTGAAATAAAATAGGGAAAGAAGAAAGAAATCGACTGCATTCTGTATTTTGCTATGTGCTAGGAAATCTGCTGAATGCTTTAAGATATGTATTCTAGGAAAACTTATTTTTTAAGAGTTATTTATTTATTTATACAAGCACTGGGTACAGTCAGAAGCGCGGGAAGGTGAGAGAATTCACCAGAGCCAGAGTGGGGAACAGAACAGGCAGACCAACAAAACACACCGCTGTGGGGAGCAGCAGGGGCAGCAGGAGAGGTCTGTTGCGCCATATGTGACCCTTGTTGGTGGCCAGGGATCGAACCGGTGCTGCAGAGGCTGCAGGCAACTTTGCAGCCCAGTGATCAACCCCTGCGCCACCAGGGGAGGCCCTAGGAAAACTTATTTTTTAGGTTAAAAAGTCAAAGACAGAGATGTTAAATCAGTTGCTAAATGTCAAGCATACAGTTAAATTGATAAATGCAAATATGGCTGTCTGTGTATTTCTCCTTTATCCAACAGCATTTAGTAGACAGACAGTAAACATCTACATGTATCTATTGTGGTATGTATCTTGCCTGGCACAGAAATACAAAAAGGCTTGAATTTGTTTGTCAGACAGAGAGAGACAAATGTGTCACCAATGTAAACATAGCCTCATTTATGTTGTGTGAAACTATGTGAGTGGTTCTAGAAGTCTCAGAAGGGACAACCAACTAAGCTTCCGTTCTCTACTCCCCCAACTCTGGAAGCTTCAGTTTCACTCATGTGCAGCTGAACCACAGACCATAAGAGTGAAGAGTTAAGGAGACAGAAAGGTAACAGGGAACTCTTGGCAGAGATACCATTATGCACAAAGGCATGAGAATTTCCCTTTCTTTCTGTGAATTTCATTCAAGAAAGGATTTTATGCCAATTGGACATAAAGGCCATATAAGATATCTAAGATATAACCACCTGTTGCCTTTTTATATCATTAAAGATTTTTGGGCCAAACATTTGCCATCTCATATTAATTTATATATAATTTTTTTATATATAGAGAGGTTCTTTTTGAGTCCCAGAATTGAATCATCATATATTTATTGTAAAAGTAAATACTGACCCATGTAAAAATGATGCCTACCTATTTATTAAGGAAATATTCCTCCCTGTTATTTGGTAAAACAGAAGAATTCAATGACAATGACAGAACCCCTGCTTTGGGGGATCTCAGTGCAAAGAGGGACAGCAAACTTGATGAACTATGACTGGGACATACAGGGCCATCTGGACACATGATGCAAAGGTCGCCCACACTTTGTGCTTAGCACAGGAAGTCAGACTTACATGCTAGATATAGACACTTAAAGCCATTCTTGAGATCTTATTCTGAAAATAAGACCATCACGAGAACATTTTGCATTAAATCTTATATTCATATTAGTTTTCTTTGACTTGATTCTTTAGTTTTATTAAGGTATATTGGACAAATAAAGTTGTAATATGTTGAAATCATGCAACCTGATGATTTCATATTTGTTTACATTGCAACAGGATGTCCATAATCAAGTTACCTTGGGGGGCAGGGTGAAAATTCTTAAGTTTTGCTCTCTAAGCAAATTTCAGGTATGCAATACAATGCTATCAACTATAAATATTATGTAATAGATTACATCCTCGGATCTTGCTCATTTAGTAACTGAAAGTTCATACCTTTTAACCATCTTGTCTCTGTTTTCACCACCCTTCAGCCCCTGACATTATCATCCTCTCAAGCACAACAGTTGGTCTTAAATCACACTGATAACCACCAAACTCTACAGTTTCAACTAAAATGTCAGTATACAATGGACTTTGAAATGATCCTTTGTAGGTTAACTGCAGTATTGTGCATCTGCAGGGTTTTTGTCAATGACTAGACCATTAAAACCAGCACCTCTGCAGCTATTTAGCATTCTTTGGCTTCAGCTCTGGAGAACTTGCCAGCATCACAAAGGAAAAAGCAGCAATAATTCTTTACAATCTGCAGAGCCACAGGTCCATTTCAGCACTAGGAACAGGGGTGAGCATATCAGCAGTAGAAATGGCTGGAGACACACTGTGTTTTGGCTTGAAAGTTTTATTTTTGTTGTTGTTGGTTTACTATAATGGAAATATTTTAGACAGGATAAGAGAGTTGGATGGCCACCATAGGCTTTGGAGAAACAAAGGATTCTGTTTTGCCCTTGTCTCTTTTTGTTAGTTAGTAAGCGGGGGAAAGTCACTTGAAATGACAGTTCTCACCTTTGAGATAATAAAAGATCTTAAGAGACACAGCTGCTGTTGACGTGGGGCTGTGAACATGTGGACAGGGGGGACTGGATGCAGGGTAATTATTTTGCCTCTGCTGACACTAATCGTAAGCCAAGCAGATAGGTTTGTGTGCTAGTTTCCACCACTGTGTTTCCGGGAGGTCAGCCCTCTCCCAGGAACAATAGGTGCTAGTCATGTCAAGGAAGAAATTCAGAGCATCAGGCAAGGTGGGAGACGAATGACATGCAACTGCTCAGTAATGATTTGAAAAGACCAGTGCACTGCCAAGTGTTCTAGCTTGAAGGTTGTCAGGAAGTGTGTTTTCTTCTTTACTGTCATGATTGTGGCCTTGTCAGAAGGGGTCGAGGACAGAAACAGTAACAACACTTCGGTGTGAGCCAAGGAGAGTCATACCGACACCCGTGGCCCCCGCACGCAGAGCAGAGATGATGGTCAGAGTGTCACCAGCTGGTGTCCAGAGCCCAGGGATGACACACGTTGAAGTGTATGTCCCATGTCTCTTTGAAGGGAAGCCATAAAACCCTTATTAGGACCTTTCTGCTTCCTAGAAGAAAGCAGAGTTTAATGATTCCAGCATAGTCTGAATTTCAGGCCATGTATCAATCAGAGAAAATTTACTGACAACGATAATAAGGCCTTAAGGAGACTTCTTAAGATGGAGATAGACTAAGCTACCTGAGCTTTAGAATCTCTGTGCTGGGAAATGAGTTCAAATAAGAGGCTGGCAGGAAGTGCCCTTAGGACATTGATTAATTTACTTATTTCAAAGAACTTACAGAGCATTATACACACTCTCCCTTCCAACTTCACTTCTGTCTCCCTTCCTTCTTTAACATTTGACTATTATAACCTAGGCTAGAGAGACAGAGAGAAAAAAGAATAAAGTGTTTAAAACAAAGCTCCTCCAGTAGCTCTCAATTTGTGTGTATGTGTATGTGTGTGTATGTGTGTATGTATGCATATGTGAGTGTGTGTTGAGGGAGGGGCTGCTTTTACATTGGGAAAGACAATTATTTGTTGGGAAAAGGAGAGCAATTTTCCTTTCATAAGTGGTAAATACTTAATAGAGAAAGTGACTTTTTAATTGTCTTAAAATAAGAGTCACAAAATTATCTGAAGCTGAAGAAGAGCATTTCACAGTGAAGAGAGAAGTTCACAAAGATTTAGCACTAACAGGAAAGGAATGTAGCACTTTCAGGAACCAGGAAATCCTCCCATGTGGCAGGAGATGAGGGAGCGAAAGTGAGATGGGGGTGTGCAGACGCAGGATCCGGGTCCCACACTGAGTTCTGACTGTGATAATTATGTTTCACATCTGTGGTTTCAGGCACGGGTTAGAAGGCTGGGCTGAATGGCATGGTTCAGGCAGAGGGAGGAATTTTGAAGCGTGTAACTATTTTCCATGTAAGATTGAAACAAATAAAATGAAAATTCTGCAAATCCTGACTTAAGAAAAAAAATTATAGATGGTCCCAAGTTTAATTAACCTTGGCATATAAAAGGGCTAGGAATGGGGTATGACTGCCTAGAGTATTTATTTAACAGAATAATCATTTTCTATTTAATATGACTCACTGCAAGATTACACTAAACAATATAAGCCACTAAGACATTTTAAATAGGCTATCATTTTACTTTCTCATGTGGTTTCAGACACGTCATAAAGCGAGGTACATCTGCCTTGCCCCTCACACTGGCTCAACACAGAGAAAGGTAACTGCACTGGTTGGGTCATGCGATTAGTTCATAGTTTGTAGGGTAATACTAGGTAGTTCTGCAAAGGAAAAAAAATATATATATATATATCAGTTTCTATGTAAATCACTGCACAAGTCACCCACCTAAAGCAGCCTGCCTGGCATCTGCCTGATAAGTCTTGAAAGTTTAATACACTGTCAGCAGGATTGTTTCAGGGGGACGGATATGCCATATGTGGGACTTATTTGCAAGTCTGAGTGCATAACAGAGAATATTCTTGCCAGAGTTAAGCCTGTCCCTCATCAAATAAAGGTTTCATTATTGTTTTTATTTGAAGTCAAAATTCTACTGTCAGGCTATGTAAATAAATACAGTAGATATATTCCAAGGATTAAGACTTTAAAATCCTGTGGACCTTCAGGGTCTGTGGTGTCAGCTGAGTCCCTCTGTATGGCACATATAATGTCACTAATGTTGGTTCTTCTCCATGTTTTAGGTCAGTGACGGGGTCGAACAAGGAACCAGATCTTGTGCATCTCGAGGCCAGAACTGTGGATGGTCGTAAGTAAATTAACTGTTCCCTTCTGCTCATGATAGTATTAGCTTCACTCATCTGCCAGGCACCAGCTCTGTGTTTAGGAAAATCACAATGACAATTATCCAGATCATTTGAACATGAGGACATTCCTTGTCCTTTGTAAGCCTTAGCAATTGCCTTAGCAATTTTCAACAACTCTCATAGAATCAAGGTCTTTTCCTCTGTAGGTGATGAAAAATTTCCAAAATTCCTTATTTTCATGTGTTTTGTTGTTGTTGTAGGTATCACTACTATTTTTTTCCTCAAAGCAAGTCGCATATTTTATTGGGCAGTGCCTTCCTGTATTATTTGGAAAAAAGGGCTGAGGGGGAAAAACTTGGGTGAAAGAAAGTTTGAAAGTGAAAGAGAAAAAAAGAGAATGGGCTCTGCAGTTCCAGAGAGCACTAAGACTGTTCAGGGTTGTCTGGTCTGGGCCACAGAGCGATCATCTAAAGTTTCAAAAATATCCTTCACAATTCGAAATGTTTATCAGCGCTGTCTCTCTGTTTCTCATGCCCATTTGCCCCAGCCCTTCTGCATGCAAAGACGCATTGTCATGGGCTAAAAACAGGTCATGCCCATGACCCAGACTTTCCAGAAATGACACATATTCCATTACTACTCACTCTAGAAAGATTTTTCTTCTCTAGAGGTTTTGTCTCTCCTTTTGGGAAATAAGTATGTTATTTGGCAGATTCAGCTGAGAGGGGTGCAGGGGAGGGACATTAGATTAGCTGACCCGCACCTTCTCCCTTCAGAAGCATAGGCAGGTCTCCATAAATCACATGTCCAGCACTGTGCCCACCACAGAGTGGTTTAGATCTCCTTCCCCAGATCTTCAGTGGGCACTCTTTGTCAGTGACTCCTCAATTGATGTTATCTTGGTTTCCAAAGTCTAGTCTACCCCACAGTAACCAGAACAATCATCTCCAAGGCAAAATCAGTCATGTCTGTAAAACTTGGTTTACTCCCAGTTGTTCTGATGATCAAGAACAAAGTCCTCACCTTGAGCTATAGTTAATTTCTTTTTTTTTTTTTTTTTTTTTTTTATAGAGGCATGCTTTATTTATTTGTTTGCTGGTTTGTTTGTTTTGTTTATACATGCACTGGGTACAGTCAGAAGCGCAGGAGGGTGAGAGAATTCACCAGAGCCAGAGCGGGGAGCAGAGCAGGCAGAAGGACCGAAGTACACTGCTGAGGGGAGCAGCGGGCGGCAGGAGAAGTCTGCACGCCATGTGGGACCCTCCTCCGGTGGCCGGGGAGCAGCCGGGGATCGAACCGGCGCCGCAGAGGCCGCGGGCAGCTTCGCAACCCAGCGCTCAACCGCTGCGCCACCGGGGAGGCCCTATAGTTAATTTCAATGTGACCTGGTCCCAGTCCATTTTCCTCAGCCTCTTCACATGATACCCTCTGCTCACACCTTGCCTGCAGGTCTGTGGCCTTGCTTTCAATTCTTGGAGCATGCTGAGTTCTGTCTTCCCATACAGCCTTTTCCTCTGCCTGAACACCCTCCTCTTTTCCTCCTTTCCTGTCCAATTCAGTGAAATTAATCTCTGTAGATGGTCCAGTTCTCAAGTTAAGGAACCATTCTATCTTTTAACTTCTTACTTTGAAATAATTTTAGACTCACATAAAAGTTACAAAAATAGTTCAAAGAGTTCCCCTTGTATCCTTCACCCAGTCCCCCCAAAGGTAACATCTAATATGACCCTAAACCAATATCAAAACTAGGGCAAGCTTCCATGTCCTAAGGAAGTCTTTCTTGAACTCCTAATATAAATGAGTTTCTTATTTTGTTAGCTCTCATACAACTCTGTTGTTTTTCCTTTATGGAGCTCATCGCATCACATCACAGTTTGAAACTACATTCTCCATTAAATGAAGGTTTGATCAACACTTTCCCTCCCCACCAGTCTCTAAGTTCTTTGTGTGCAGGGGGCACATACATGTCTTTGTTCACTATTGTGTCTCCAGCCCAGCCCATGGTGTCTATATGTAGATGGAACTAATATATATTTGCTGAATGGATAAATGAATGAATGAAAATATTGTTGCCCAATTGTCTGGATTACTAGCTGGTTTTGTAACATCACTTACCAAGATGTCTGAAAATTTTAGAGCATTTACATGCAAACTTTACATGCATACAACCCACCTAGGGATCATGTTAAAAGTTGGACTTTGACTCAGTAGGGACCTGAGTCTGCATTCTTCACAAGCTCCCAGGTGTAGCTAACACTGCTGGTCTTTGGAATATACTTAAGCTAACAAAGTCCCACAATGAAAAACTAATGAAAGAGATTTAGAGTCTATCTCCCATGACTGACTATACCTCTTGTTTAGAGAGCTCTAGATGGAATTGGTAGCACCCCAGATTGCTTTCATTTTCAGGCTTTGGGGGATAATGCTGCTTTCTGGCTGATGGCATGGAATGCACACAGTCCATATACTGAAAGCAACAAGGCCATGGCTTTCCCTTATCTGTACGTTTTCTTTCACCAAATGTTATTCCTGTGATCCCTGCAGGCATGGAGGTAGATAATGCCAAACTGTCAGCTCAGACTCAGCTTTCACAAGGCGTGAAATATATCAGTTCTAATTTTATTTATTTTATTTTACTTTTTTGCAAAGGCAGCATCTTCAGAAACTATCCAAGAGTGAAAATTCAATAAAGGGATTTAATTTGAAAAGTTATCCCTGTCAAAACAAAGCAGGAAAAAAATTATCTACCAATTGAAATAAAGGATCTAGGCTTACACCTGATCTGAGTGTAAAAAGGAGATTTTTTTTTTCCGTTATCTCCCTCTTCCTCCTAACCCCCCTATTTCTCCATGACAGAACCATGGTAACCGTGACTGAGAAGAGGAGGGCAAGAGAGAGCATGGAGGTCATAGTATCAGCACAACATTAGCAAATGAAACTAAGAGTGTATTTATTAAAATCTTGCTCTAGACTGGTCAGTTGCTCCAAGAATCCCAATATCTATCTGTCTCTCCTCATTCCCTGGTTGAGATTCCTCATTTTTCCAATTGTATACCAAATTGTTTAGTGTACAGTTTAAGTACGTGGAACCCATTGTTTGCATTTCTTGACCACGTATTGTGTAAGACGAATGTCAAAATGTAAGAATACTTTTGACTTTGAACTCATACTTATTTTTTTATTTTAATGCTTTTAGGAATTTTATAACAAGGGCACTAAGATATTTGATTCAAGAAAAATCCCTCATTGATTGGATTGAAAATGTTTATCTGAAAAAGTTTAGCTTTAGCCCATTGCAAATGCTCCTCTATTACATTTTATAATTAGTTTCTGTTTCAATTGAAGGGGAAGTGAGCTCTGGAAAGCCTTTGCTCCATGTGGATCTATAACTGGCTTACATATTTTTTTTTTACCAACTGTGCTCTGAAATCTGCATGTCTTGTACTTCACAACTGTGACAAGAATGTTATTCTTCTTGTATTATCTCCCTGCCTTGGGAGGCAAACTAGAGAGCAAGCCCAAAGACAATCAATCACAGGAAATGTTACTGGAGAATTCTGAACATGTTTATTGGATTTGACATTTGTTAGTGTCCCCTGTGTTCAACGAGAGTAGACCACAACTAGGAAACTAAGATCTCGCTATTTAAATACCGTGTGTGTGTGCATGCCCATTGCATGCACCCAGTCCATGAAAACTGCTACCCACTACTACATTTCAATAGTAAAAAGATAACCCAAGTTCTATTATTGACCAAATATAAGTGCATTTGTGTACATGCATGTAATATACATAGTTAGGGAGAGACTGTTGAGCAAACTGTTGGATTGAAAGCTTTGTGAGAGCTGTATTTTATTTCATCTTGGTTCCATGTACAAACACAGGTCAGAACCCGACCCATTTAATGTTTGTTAACTTAATAAATTTGTGTGTCACTGATAAGCATGTCTTTTTAAAAAATGACCTTTAACCAGAGATTCTTTGGAGTCCAGAAGGGCTAATGAATGAGCTCAAGAAACTAACTCCAGGCAACTATGTGCCACATGTTATGAATATGGGATTTAGGAGGAAGAGAGCATAACTTCTAGCAGAGTTCTTCACATGGTGTGTATCTCCGAATTTATGCTGATCTGAAACATCATCTTGCAGGAGAACCTGCTGTAGCAAGTGTGATGATTATTTCTTTTCCCTTTTACTTCTGGGATGAAAGGGCTAGCAGTGACCTGAGTGATTCTGTAGGGTGGTGATCCATGCTAGCAAGGACAGGGGACAGGGGATAATTACTGGTCTCAGTGTCTATTTGCATGAGTAAGTAACCTTGTAACAACTTGCCCGAGGACTAATCTCTTTCACTGAGGAGAACAACTTTGGCCCTTTATCTAACTGTGAAGATGACTGCCCAAGAACTTGAAATGAACCTCAGACTAGCATTTTACAAGTTGAAGTATAATCAAAGGAAACTCACAGCTTTCTATAAATATCACCCCCCGCCCCGCAATTCTGCTCTTGGGTGAGAATTGGACATCTCTTTTCTACTTCCCTTTTTAGTCCTCTCACCTAATCTCCACATTGAATGGCATGTATGTCAATATCTGAATAGAACAAGTGCTATTGAAATACCATGGGAAGGTAATAGAGGCCTCAGCTGCCATCATTCCTCTCTATATAAGCTATGGGATGTTTTGAGTTCTTACTATAAGCATAGATTGCTTTTATAACTGCAGAGCTAGCAACCATGACAATAAAAAGGACATTTGATACTCAGATGTATCAAGTGGAAAGTAAAATCCACTTCCTGACCTTCATTCCCATCCCAGAGAGGTAGTATTTTTTAATATATTCCTTCTATATTTTTCTAGAAATTGCTTGGGCTTATACAGATAAATAAGTATGTGCATAAATAGACATACCCACAGATATTCATGTTAGAAAAATCATTATGCCAAGTGTAGTGTTGGAGAGTAGCAATTTACAATAACTTACTTAATTTAGAATAGCAAGT